TGCTTTGTTATGAGTACTGATGCTGTACTTTCGTCCCTATTATCATCAGTCCTCATCCTTTTGTTCCCCATCGTTCAAGTGCACAATCCTTCTTGTCTTGTTTCATCTCCTCTTTCACTTTTTTTTGCATTTTTTCTCTCTAGAAGCGCCTTCTTGTCTTCTTCTGTGTTTGGGAGCATCTCCATTGTTCTAATTATTTCTCCCTTTCTTATCATTCTCTTCTGTAACTTTTTACCCTTACCCGTCCCATGGATCTGTTTTGTTTATCTGCATTTAATTAGGCCAGTTTCACCGGGTAGGCAAGGCTTGCAGGATCTATTGACTGCGGTACACTGGTAATCTCTGGTTCTATATTGTCCATTCGTACTAGTTCGTGATCCCTGTGTACTTTTGTATCCGATACATTGATTCTCGTAGTAGTACCATCAGTAAGAGTATACGGTTTGTTAGAGTTGGAGGAGGAGTTTAAGAATCTCTCTGGTCTCTTTCAAGAAAACCATTTTAATACTACTTTGGCTGGAAATATTGTTGGCCTCAATAAGATTTAAAGGTAGGATCGGACTTGATTAATTGCACATAAGCATTGAAATAATTTTGCAGCTCTGAAAATCATAATTCAAACTTCACGATATCTGCTGTATTCTTTAACAGTAGGTATCTCCTTTTTCAACAAATTTTATTACGTCATGCAATGAAATCTAAAACATCTATTGTAATATTAATTATGATAAAATTCAAAACTGTATTTTGTAAACGAGAATTTAGAAAAATTAGTTGATTCACTCAATTGTATGACAGTGTAATTGATAATTCAACCTTAAGGTATTAAAATTAATTTTATGGAATACCATGGTGTTATACAATAACATTATCAGAAAATTATTGAGCATATAATGTAGCATCGTATTTTTAACAATTATATGTTTCATTTAATATAGCAATAAATCATTATTTTTTATTATTGATTATATTTCTGATAATAACAGATAAATAACTGTTATGAGGTCAAAATATATTAAACGCAAAATTTTAAGACAATAACAACGAAAAAAAGCCGAAAAAGTTTGCCTTAGCTTTTTACAAGCTCAATTTAAAAAAAAAGAATTAAAAAAAAAAATTAGTAAGAAAAAAAATAGGAAAATAAACAAAATTTTAAGACTTTGACCAGCTATTGACGTTTAATCTTGACTCTCTCTTCTCACATTTTTTCTTGTAGTCCCAGTCTAGTGCGGCTTTTTGTTTTCTTATTTTGTAAGCTTTCAAAGCGACAACTCAAAAAATGAGAAAAAAAATTTGGAACAAACAAAAAGAAAGAAAAGCAAAAAGCAACGTTGAAGTAGAAGACTTGAAATACGAGTCGTGTTCGATGACGTCAAGAAATATTATATAGTTCGCACAGGTATTCTTTGAATGCGAAGAAATTTGTCGTTTAGCAAAACAGAATACGTACTCAGAAAAAATCACGTATATGCAAGAAATACAAAAATACACTTATAAACATATAATTATATGTATAATCATAAATATACGAGTTGATTTTCTAAGATAAATAAATAATTAAGATGTACAAAAATAAAGTATTAAGATAGAACTACGAAAAAACAGAAAATCATATGATCAAAAGAAATGAGAAAAAAAAAAAAATTAGAATGCATGAATTATAGCATTTTATTGTTTGCAAAAAGTGTTAAAACTTGTGAATTGTGAAACAACTAAAACCTAATAGAATAAAGAGTTTAAAGTATATAATTTCAGTTCTTAAGTTTTTCCTCCAGGGATTTTTTTACCGTGCTAAAAGAAGTTACACATGAATAAAAAGTTACCTTTAACGCCAAAAAACCATCCCAAGTAAATTAATTCAAAAAATTCTGTTTATTTTCCTAGCTAGAAAAAGTATTGGACTCAATTTCTTAACTTGCAAACTACTATTTTAAATAATTTTCCAGTAAAGTGCGGCCTTATTCCGTTTACTAAAAACTCGGCAGAGTTTTTCATCCTAGTTGGCATTTAATTACCAGAACAAAGTTTTAACTTTCATGAAAAATACTCAGCATTTTGTAGAAACGATCTTGAAAACAGCAGCTTCATGTTGGAGGACCACGAGTTGTCCCAAAATTCAAATAAATTATTTCACTTTTTGATGGTAAAATCGAGACAATAGCTTTTTGGTGGTGAAAGGATTGAAAAGGCGTAAGTTACCGATTGAATCAAACTCGAGCTCAATATAACCAAAAAAAAATTCCACGCTGAAAGGCTTTGAGAAATTTATAGTCGTAGAAAAGAAAGGCTGCACCATCATTTAACTGGACTCGGTTACTATCGATCCTGCACTTTTCCTGAAGACAAAGATCTCTTATAACTTTGGATCTTATAAAGATTTTCAAAAGATATACGGATGAAATTTCAATGTTTACTGCAAAAAATTAAGGCAAGTTGAGCAGATGCTCAATCTCGCCGAATTTTATTATCTGTATTGTTTAGTTTTTGCTGATTAATTATTTGTCTCATTATTTTCTAACAATGTATTAAATTGTAATACGATGATTTTGATCTCGATTTTGATTGGCCAAATGAAAACGTCATCTGCGATATGCATAACGCATCGTATGTGGTAATCATGCTACTAGGAATACGTGATATGCAAAGAGTAGAAGAGGGAAGGGGGTCCACAAAAGGGGCATATTTAAGATCGGGATAGAGAAGAGGACACTTGAGAACATGTGTAGTATCGGCATTCAGCCGCGAGTATATAGGGGTTACGAGCGGGATCAGTTCCGCGGCACACATATTGACGCTCTCTCCCTCGGTTATAAGTTTAATAAAGGGAAAAGGTAAGAAATCTATGAAGCCTTTTTTTGCAAGCACCTCAAATACTGTAGATACACGAATGTATTTATGTGGGCGAATTTAGAAAAAGAAGAAAAATATGTTTTACAATCCATACTTACGGTATTTATGATAAACCCATTTTTTTAAATAATATGTGAGTGCTATGTACATAATGTGTAGGTCCATAAAAACTTTTCTTCATTATATATTTAGGTCTGTATTACCTATTATAAAATTATAATCTTTTGTTGCTGATTATAACCCGATTCAAAACCACTCGAAAAACAGTTTACTTAATGAGTCTAAGCCTAGCGGCCAATCTGCGTAAAGCGGTGGTGGTCAACTTTAAAAAATTTAATGTTAAATAGCTTAAAATTAAAAGTTCTCACGGCTTATTAAAATAATAAACAGGTCAAAGCAGAATTGAGGCTAAAAAATACCTTCCAATAACTATAAGTTATAAACAAATTATTCACCTTTTTCGAATCGTCAAATCGTCCGTTGACTATTAAAAATCTGTAGCTTTCAAACTAGAAGTGTTCTTGACATGAAAACTGTTTTGATACTTAATTGAAGTGTCTTGAGAGTAGATGCAAAGTTTAAGCAAAAGAATACTACGAAAAAAAGTTACAAACAAATCAAGGAGCTGCTATGAGCAAATCGTTTTACTGAAACATCTTATTGTTTTATCATTTAACAAAACTAATTAGCTAATGGTTTTTTTGTGAAAAGTTTTTGAGCGATTTTTGAATAATGCAAAACATAAATTCTATAAAGACTTACTAAATGAAGGTTATTAAGAAAATTATGAAGTAATTTTTTTATACATAAAATAATAGGTTTTAATAAGTGGGTTTTAAAGTAAGAGCATGAACTTTTTAAACAAAAAAAGCAATAACATCAATTGTTTGAAAAAGTGTAAAAAAAAAAAATTAATGAATGACATGGTAAGTAAACGTAACCAGGCGACCAAATTGAATAAACATCATTTATTACAACTGTTATTTGCATTTTTTTAATAAAACAACAAATTATCACACAATTTCACATTAAGTATCATCAACATCATTTATACATATATCTGAACGTAGAATACTTTTTTACTCGATAAATTTGCACATGGTATTAACAAACAGCTTATTCTCTATTTTTCACTTTATCAATAAATTTAAAGATTATTACAGCTATAAATACATTACGAAAGTTGTAAATCGATTTTTAGATCTTAAATATTTGCACCCTGCCATAATCTTAATCAAATGTTTTTGGACTTCAAATTTTCATAACCACGGAGAATGGCAGCGTCTGATAAAAATTTATGTTAGACTTTTAGTCGACATTCTATCAAAAGATTCATTTTTCAAACGAATTATTAGATATTGAGAAACACAGTAGGCACCTTCTATTTTTATCTTTTATTTCCCAAATTTACATGCCACCAATATCCATTAAAAGAGACAAAATAGTATACACATATTTTATGACAAAGTTATGAAAAAGTACATATTTTTATCACAAAATTTTTTTTTTTTTATATTCGAAGATCAGCTTTGACACTCTGTTGTTATTTGTGATTCACTTTATGATACACAGTTTCCGGCAGCGATGTGTCTTTCTGTCCTTTTCTATACATGTACTCACGTGTACCACTAGAAAATTCTCTTTCTCTGTGTATCCCTTGCGTTTTTACATTCACAGACTGTGCCCGCGGCTAATCTTTTGAAAAATGCACGCCAAAATTATCGGGCACAACCGAGGATAATGAACCTTCCTTCCTGTGTGCACCAGTGTCTCTTTCACTCCTCTTTTGTTTGCACCGTTTGCCAAACATTCTACTTTTTCCAAGTCAGGTCAAAAAAATTTTCAACCGAGTAGAACCCTTACATTCGTACGGGTCAAAACAAAATGCAGAGATACGATTTTTCGCATGTCCAAGATAAAAGTGGAGGAAATCGTAAAAAACATTTTATTGGTCCTGGTCATTTTAGAAAACTATCGAATAGTATACAGTTTAGTAGTTAGTATTCACACTTATCTTCGAAAGAATCGAGCAAAAAATCGTTGGACGTGTAAAAGAATGGAACAATAACAACACACATATACACGTAGTGGATTTTTAAGATTGTTAATAATTAAAGGAAGTGAGAGATTAGAGATTGAGTCTATCTTACCGAGAAGGCTTTGAGGAAGACGAGGCACTGTATGATGCCCTCCATCGTATCTCCCTTTAGGCAAAATGTGCCTGTAAGATGACGGCCTTTGCGGCCGATCACCGAGCAGAGGCTGGCCTGTACGAAAGAGTTTGGCGATCGCGAGGATGCCGTGAGAGCCGGCTGATGAGGTACCGTTCTCATTAGCCGCTCCAGCGAGTCCATGTCTCTTGGCTCTCGTTTGATATATATTAACTCTTTGAAATTTTTTTTTTGTATCTTTATCTCTATGTATCCCGAGCTTTTTTAGTATATCTACCAGCGACCAACTTGATGGAACAATATGCTTAGTCAATTAACAACTAAACCAAAAAAAGTCTTAGTCCACCCATATTAAGCTGTCGTAGAGGCATTATTTTCTTTTACCGTGTCTCTGCGTCTATGTATCATGCATACACTTCTTAACAGTATTATTTGAAAGTTTATCAAGTCAAGTATGATTTTAGAGTCGAATAAAGTATTCAAAAATGAGGCGTAGGTTCTGAAGCCTTTGAGACAATGTAGTCGGGATATAAACTTTAAAGACGAATCACACAAAAATAATTAATACGGCATAAATATATTTCTTCAACGCGGATCATCGATAATTCACTATAAATAGTCACTTTCACGGCACATAGAGGATCTTCGAACAATCAACATCATCAATTTTTAGATAATGCATTAAACAAGATCAGTCGACCACATTCTCATTTGCCGAAAGTAATACTTATCTAACACAAGCAATGACAAATTTCGTGGATGGTGATGAAACCAAAAGACCCACAATCCTTTGAGCTGATCTATTAAGGAGGATTTGGTCACGTAAGAGGTATTCATCAGCATCGACTAATACCTAGGCAGGACCAAGTCACCATGAACAGGAGGATCTGCAATGTTCCAGCGTTGGTACTTTACCATAGTATGAACGTCCCTTATTCATCCCATTGACCTAAATGTCAAATAGAGAAGAAAGAAAATGTTCAATTATGTTTAAACATTGTTGTGCGTATTTAATGTGGATCACAATGTAAATACATGAAATTTTCACATAATTTGGAGCATCCAGGCAACGAAGGTACAATGCTGCTGAAGACCAAAGCAGCCAAAGTATATTTTTATTGTAGTTTAAATGTCCTCTTGTGATTTGTGGTAAAACTTTATGAGATCGAGTAGACTTTTCGTGGTGGTATGGTCGAGGATGGAGGCGATGCTGATGGCGAAGATTCAAATTTTCGTGATTCCATTGCCGGCGTCGCTGAGTACCGTCTAAACATGTCACATACTTCGTAGCACAGAACGCAAATTCCAATAATGAGAAATGTATCCATGACGATTGTATTGTTATGTAAAAATTCCAGCACTACTGAAATTATTTCTCATCTAAAGTTCTTCCAAAGTCTCCTATTTGAAATATATTGTCACGAGACAACACTTATAAAAAATTGATTGCACTGGTTTTACAGGATCACGTCATCAGTTGAAAAATATGTAACGAGCACAAACACATAATCAGTGCCTCTAACTTGTACGTATACATTATATTTTTAATGACTTGCCATTCAAAAACTTTAACGTCAAAGGGCTCATTTAGTGCTGAAAGCATTAGCTCCCCTATAAAATAGGTCATTTGGCATCTGTCAATTCAAAGAAAAAATTGCGATGCTTAAGTAGTGTAGGGAAACGTTGTGCCGTCGATTCTCCAGCTCGGCTATTAGCTTGAATGACTCTGACGAATTCCACAAGGCTCTGGATGGTGGGATGATTTAAGCTAAATCATGGAGCCAATCCCAATAACGAAAATGTTGGATGATCAAAATGGCACACTGCATTTAATTTTCATTAAAAGTTATGATAATCATAACAATAACACTGCAATGCCAATAGTGATAAACAGTTTTCCTGATGCCATTCGAAGAAAGTAAGCAGCACAGCAGTCTATCCACAATGCAAGCATGTGTTACATTGTTACATGTCTAATTAGTACGCCCACACCACATGCTTCAGTTTGAATAATTTCTAGACTACTAAACCATAACGATAGTGTTATCCATCGATATTTGATACATCTTCATTGATAAGGATGTAAAAAGTCGAAAAAAAACAAAGATAGCGCGAGTTCACACCCACGATTTGAATGGTATGTAAAACTAGTCCAAGCTGGGATCAAGGCTCGAATGGAAAGAGAGAGAGAGAGAGAGGGAAGCAGGACGAGGAGAAGGAGAGAGAAAAATACAGGGTGTGAGAAAAGGGAACAAGAGGAAAATAGTCGCGTAACGCGTGTACCCAGTGCTAGGGACAGGCGGAGGAAGAAAACGGTATCACTCGCGCAACGAGTCGGCATATGACTAGCGGACGCGAGCGAACTGGCGTTAAAAGCGTTGTGGGTGCGCCAGTTCACGAGCGCATTGGAAAAGGACGGAGAGAGCTGCTAACGGCGCCACCAGCTTCATTCCCGTGGAGCGCGCGCGCAGAGATCTCTCTCACTTTCCGTCATCCCATATCCACCGTCCTACACCAACAAGCCTCCCTTTCCAAAGAGAGCATGTGCCTCTCCGTTCCATACCACTGCTACCAACTTCCCCTGAATCCCACCCTCCCAGTACTAATACCAATGCGACTACTACCAGTATCCTTCTCTCTCTTCCGAGCAGTCGTCCACCTCTTCCTTCGACTCCACATCTATTGTTTCGCCTTTTTCCTTTTGCCCGTGTCGCAGCCTATCTTTATCTCCTCCATCCCCCTTTCGCCCCTTTTTTCATTCCACGAATATCCGATGCCTTTTTCTACGAGCGGATCCTTCGATTATTGTCGACTGTCGTTGCTATTCTCTCTACACGCATGTGCGAGTACTACCTCGCCCGACTCCGCTCTGTCCCGCGTTTTTCTTTGCTTTTTTGCTTCTTAACCGCGTGCTGAATCTTCCTTTACAGGATAGCTTTTTCGGTTTGTCTTGTCACGCCAACACATCGGTTTGGTATCGACTGCACTCTATTCTACTGTTTCGCCTCAATGTGCAAAGCTTATTGCATAAAAGATTATTTTTAATCATCCACAACTTTAGTTTGGTGTGCCAAATGGTTCAATTGATGTACGAAAACGAGTAACTCACATAACCATCACTGAGCCTTACCTAAATTTAACTCTTTGTTCGCTTAACGATCGATTTATGGTATTCGTGGAAATGTTCGATATTTATACGAAATTCGAAAAATCGATGCAACACTTTGGATTTCTCTACTGCGCCCAGAGTGCCGACACACGTTGTGGCCTGTGCATATGGCATTCAATAGTTCGAATGTCAGTGATGGCCATTTCAGCGTTTCAAATGCACAGTAATTAGCGCGCTACCTACTAATGACATGTCCATTCATTCGCGCTGCACCAGCACTAACAGCCGATCGGCGTACACGTGCATGGTACGCAGGCCAGCAACGGCAGTAGAGTAGCAAGTGCGCGGTTAATTATGCAAACAAAGGCTTAGATATCTGGCCATGGACAGAGGAAAGATCGATAAAGGAAACAGCTTGAATGAACGTGTGGTCCAACGTTAGCTGCGACTATTCTTGCGGTGTGGCAAACAATCCACCGTAGCTCAGCGGGGCTTCGTCAGCGCCATACCGTGCCCTAGCGGGGTTAAATTTTATGAATTTCGCCATCATCTGGTTATTTGAGCATGCGTGTGTAATATGTTGATTAAAATTTTCTTTAATTACAAATAATGTTTTCCAATTATTGGCGGGAGCTTCTTTTTTCTCATTCATCATTTTGAATTCTTTTTATAGGTATTACAACTTTTTTTCTCGTAAATTCTTCTAAACAATTGGTAAAATAGCTGTTAAAACTAGTGACTAAATAATGTATGAGTAAACAAAAAAACCATTACCAAAAATTATTAGATTACGCTGCTATTACTTTAAAAATAATATATTACGATAAAAACATTTTTTTAATTTAAGCTAATAATAATGGTTTCATGCATATGGGAGGAAAATTTTGAGTTGATATTTTGTATCATTATGAATAGGTTACCAATGTCTATTTCATTCCTATTATGTAATGATGAATCCTTTCAAGATTTTGTTAAAGTTTTTTGTAAGGGATAGCACACGTGATTGAAATGTTACTTTTCGATGTGTCAATTTCCTATGCATCTATGTAAGGATTTGTCAATTAGGGGTACATCTGTTTGTCAAAAAAATTGGAGTTTATCTATTCATGCACTAATCTAAGCTTGGATATGATATACTATTTATATTTGTGTGTGTTTTCTTAACCACAAATTTTGTTTATTTACTTATTTATTATCCTTTTACCATTTATTATCCTCGACTTGAACCTGTATCTTTATGTATTTTCTTTTTTTTTTTTTCCTTTCAACTTCACATTTCTAGTTAATTTTACACTTGTGATTAAACTTTAGTCAATACTTTTTTGTTTATAAATCTTATTTAAAAGCTTGTCTTTCTGTATCCTGACTTGTTATCATCTCAATTCTTAAAAAACTTTGCTAAATCTTTATCTTTCATCTATTACTTCCTTAAAACAGTCTCTCTCTCTCTCTCTCTCTCTCTCTCTCTCTCTTTGTGGTTTCAACCTTAATGTTCATGTATCTGTATTATTCTTTTTTACACTGGCTATATTTGATTTTGTGCAGACCATTTTCAGCTAAAACGAAAGGATACAGAAACAAGAGGGAGAGGTGTCTATATAAACTTTCAAAATTTTTCAGTGTGGTTTTAAAATTTTAAAAATGATTTGACTTCTTATTCCAGTTATCTATCTGCTCTATTTACAGACACAGAAAGAAACATGTTAGAAGTCGCGTTAAAGAGGAGTCAGCAGGAAAAAGTTAAAGAGGTTGGTTAGTAGAAACTGAGAGAAACGTAGTTAGCTGGATACCTACGGGAAATTAATCTAACTATTACTTCCCACGTGACACCTCGACACTTACGATGTAGTTCACCTTTTTGACTATGTTATGTATGTGCCTTTTTATACGTTTAAATATTATGTCTATTTACGTATTTAATCTACTCAACAGGCCAACAAGTTCTCGTAAAAGTTTATCCTCTCTCTCTCTCTCTCTCTCTCTCTCTCTCTCTCTCTCTCAGTCGCACTTTTGTACCAAGAGCGCGTCAACTAAGTGGTAATTCATGGAACGAGACTACTTTAGCAAATTACGAAATAAAGCCCTCTGGTATGCTAATACATTAATCATGTGGCACTGTCTTCAGATACATAAATGGTACGGAGCTCTCAACATTCTGGATGAAGGATCACGCCTAAATGAAAATAGAGCATTTGGTCATGATGAATGATTTAGTCTCTTTTAATTTTTTTAATTTTTTAAAATTTTATTTCCAAACAGAGTAAAACGTAGATTCGTATAAGGATGGAAAATAATAAGTTACCTAGTAACTTTATTGGGTAGATGAAAATGTAAAAATAATAGCTCCTCCAACACTCAGATCATCTGATGTGCTTGATTATTATAAATCAAGATTCATTGCAATATGCCAAATGATTAAAAATAATCTAAACGAGTTCTTTATGAGGTGATGCAATCGTAATTGCAATTACAAACAGCCACAACATGGATATTTGGAGAATATAAAAGGAACAAAATATGCGTTTTTTGTAAACGTTAATAAAGCGAGGAACTCAGATTAAATAATTATTTAACTTTGCCAATGTTATAAAAGAGAAATAAGAGCTTGCTTGCGAGTAGAATTCTATTAAAAAATCTGTAAATCTATGCACCACCTTTAATATTGTAGTAAATTTAAATATAACCATTTAAGGTAGGTTCAAATACAGCCTACTTTACTCGCTACTTTGGAATGAAAAACATTATTTTTCCTACCTTGAGCATTTTCGAGGGTCTGGTGTCCCCTTAGTAGGAAAAATAGGGATCGCACCTGATGCTCATTCAAGCACGAGGAGTGCCTCGGATCTAGTGCTTGCCCTTGCAACATGCGCCACCAGGTACGAAAACTACTACTGTGCATGTATAAGCATGAGTTTTTAAAAGAGTATTTTTAGAGTTTTTTTTGCATTGATACGGTTCTAAAAGCATTATTTTAAAACATTAAAAATCATCTCTCGTTTTTTCATCACATTTCTGTCAGCTCGAAATTTGTAATTAAATTCCTTTATCACGAATACGATAAAGATATGTATACGAATACTGTTTAAATCAAAAAATTGTTAATTAAATATCAAGTCAGCTCAAATGGACTTTTTTTTATAACCAATAGATGGCATTTACGATAAGCCAGATATTTGAACATAATGAACTTCAACTTCACAAAAAATATCAGTTACATAAAGGGAAAAATGTTGGCTCACAGCCGATTCAATTTACTCGTTGCAGTACATATTTCACCATGGATTCTGTGCGTTCCTTCCAAATTTTTAATAAAAGCAGTAAAAAATACACAAACATAAAGTTGAAATTAAAAACTGGATCAATAGAACGAGCTTTACTGAAACCCACGATGTAGGTTGAAATTTTATCTTGTGACACACTATACTCACGCATTTTAGGTATAATAAAGACTTACCTAATTGAATGTTTTATTAATTCATACTAAAGAAACTGAAAATATTTTCACCAGCGGAACGTGATTAGGCTTCCGTTACAAAAAAAATGAGTTTTGATATTATATCGAAAAAAAAGTTTATTAGATGAAAAAAAAAAAAAAATTGTGCATTCCGTACAAAAATCTTTGAACTGAAAATATTACAAAATAACTAACCATCTTTTCAAACTACAAAGATTGACCTTATATTTTTTTTTTTTTCAATATTTTTTTATGTTTTTATAATAATGATTAATTTTTAAATGAAGCACAACTGTACAAAACTCGATGAAGAAAATAACATCTCAATGAACAAGAAAGATCCAATCGAACAACATTGGAAGTCAGCAATATATAGTGCTTCGCAGGTCCTTTGGGCCGCAAAATAGCCCCGGAGACGACGGCACTTATGTGGCGAATCCTATTTTTCCTACCGAGGGCACACTAGCCTCTCAAAAACGCTCGAGGTCGGAAAAATACTTTTGAACCTTATAGCATGAAAGCCCCAATTCGTTTTGTATACAGTTGAAGTAATATTCTCTCCAGGTGCAGCGAGAAAAATTGGTGCATACGGATGAAAACATCATTAAAAATCACACCAGAGTCATTCAAGTCGTTTTGGTGCTCATCATGAACTCAGCAAAATAGTAGCAAAAAGTAGTAGTATTCGCTGGATCTCATGGGTGCGGTCAGAGCGGGGCGTTTCGTGTTTATCAGCTAGCGTTGAATTGCCGCTCCTGGTCAC